CTCGCATCTCGCTCAATTTTCTCCTTATGGTCTGATAGCGAAACCACAGACGAATTCAAGTAACTTCAACATTTGATCGGCTGGATCAAATGTTGAAATTACTTCTACGTCAGAGTCGTCCGAACTACTGGATTCGTCCAATTCGATTGCGAGATTTGGTAAAGGAGCGCGGTGTTGGCCGTCATCATATTCGTAGTACGACATGTTTGGAATGATATTACGTTCGAATAAACAAAGTAATCAACACAAACATTACGTTCGTTCTCTCTTTCTCTTCTTTCTTTCTTTGTTTCTGTGGACGAGAACAATTTTAGCTATACTATCCAAACATGTCTGCCAGTCCATGCTTTAATCTTTTCGGGACGGGTTTTTTTAACAGACCAAATAACGAAATACGATGCTAATCATCATTGCTAGATTTCCATTTGAGGGTGTGGGTATTAGAAGAAGACACATACACCCACACCTACAGCCACACCCACACCCTCAATGCTACTATTTTCTATCGTGTTATTGACAAAAAAACACAAGAGAAAGAGATTGAAAAGTCATCATTAAAGATACATGAAGAACAAATTATTGACAGAACAACAACAACAGATAAGACAATATAAAAAGCTTACAACATCGATATTTCTAATAACAAAGTGACATCACAGTATACAACATTGATCTTTGCTAAGGCTTGTTTGATTCTTTACTGATCATTTCTTTTCATAATCAATGAAAAATAATTAATGAGTTGTTTCAGGTTTGACCAGCTTGTCGACGATTCATGGGCAAAATTTCTGGACGAACAACTCGATTACGTTGCCAAAATAGAAAGATATTTTTACATTTTACTTTCAATTCAGGTAATGAGAGAACACTCGCAAATGGAGTAAAGATTATAACCCAATAAAAAAAGAAAGAACCATCAAGAAAATAATTAGCAGCTACATATGATGGTAGACCAGCTGAATATGCAGCATACAAAATCATTGGTGGAAATGATATCAGAAGATACAGAGCAGATATCGGTAACAATTGCGCTGCCATTTTCTTGTAATTTCTCCATTCAATTCTTTGACGCATGCGATATTTGTGATACAAAACACGTATCAACAGAGCAATACTAAATAATACAACAATAAATGTCGGCATAATATAATGAGCAATACTGTCAAATAAACCTATCTTTGGACTAAGAAAAAGACACAAATATAGGTTACATACAGGTGCAGTGTAATCGGGAGGAGAATCGCAAGGTCTTGCTAAGTAAACGACTAGATAAAATGCTACTGGCCACAAAATACATATTGCCAAAGGGAGAAAATGAAAGAAAAGAAGTTTAGTTTTTGTTGCAAACCATCTTGAATGAAAAATGAGAATATGTCGTTCAATCGATGCCCAAGCCATTAGAAGGCTAACGGATATAACACCAAATAAATTAACCAAACACCATGCTAGACAAAATTCACGTGTCGCTGATGGAACAGTACCAGTGCGATATAAATGAATTAA